CCTCCTCCCGCCTGCTTCCATCACAGCAGCTTAAGCAAAGTCCAGCAACAAGACGGGGGGGGGGAATTGGAGCCAAAGGGGGAGGGGGGAAGGGAGGGTTGCAAAAAACATGCCCTCCCCCGCAGTGTTGGGGGGAGTCGCAGTGGTCGAGAACAGTGGTGTCCCCTTTGCATGTTTCCGGGGGTGGCGGTTGAGGCTCAGGGGCTCCTCTGGGGGAGCAGAGGGAGAACCCTTGGGGGGATCTGAGGGCCAGGAGAGGGGAAGCGCTTTCCTCCCCATCCAGCGCAGCCACGATCCTCCGTCCACTCGGCCCCAGAACGGTTTTCCTTGGAGGTAGCAGAGATGAAGGCTGTCAATAGAGCAGCTCTGCAGGACGGCTGGTTCCCCCCCCCCCATCAGGTGTTGAGGAGGGGGAGAGAGAACGGCCGTTCATCTGATATGATGACCAACGTCCAGTGAGAAAAACCAGCCGCATCTCTGGACTCTCCAAACGGAAGGGACCCTTAGAAGATTTAAAAGCAAACCCCCCCCCCACAAGGGCTCCTGGGAGGCCGGCTGCAGTTGACCTGCGTGGATGGGGGGGGGCTTGTGTTTCAAGAGAGGCCCCGTCCTGCTTTATGGGGGTCCCCGGGGGGGGGAGCAGTCCCCAGGACCCCCAGGAGACTGATTTCTCCTTCCTTGCAGCGTCCAGACGGCCCAGGATTCCCTTGGTCAACGTCAGGAGACGTAAGTCAAGCCGGCTGGGGCTGATGGGCGGCTGCGGGGTGAAGGCCCTGGATCGGCCCCTGTGAAAAAGGAGCCAATAGGAAGGAAGGGATGGAGGGAGTGAGGGTGGATTACATTTTCATCCATTATTCCATTTGGCGCTTCAGGATCCTCACTTTCCTTTCCCAACCCTCTGCCTGGCAGCTTCGCCCTCCTGGAAGTCGGTGGAGTTTCTCTGGGCAGTTCAGGGCAGCGATGCCCAAAAGAGGCTGTGGCTTTTTCTAAGCTGCACACTGGGGGTGGGGGGGGAGGGTGCCCGTCACTGGCCGGGATGCCTCTGTGGGCGAGGGGGGGGGGTCTGCCCTGAGCGTGCACCTGCTCCGGCCACTGAGGAGCCCACCTTGGCTGTTACGCGATGCCATTGGGTGGAGGCCTTAATAGCTTTCAGCCACGTGGACTTCAACTCCCAGAATTCCCCAGCCAGAAGGAGGGTGCTGGTCTCGAGTGACACACAGCGTGCTGCCTGGGGAATTCTGGGAGATGAAGTCCACACGGCTGAAAGTTGCCAAGGTCGAAAAGCAGCAGATATCCAGATGTTTGCAAGTCCTTTGCCTAAGAGCCCCTCCCTGCCCACGTCTGCCCACTCAGCGGCTTAAATCATAATCACAATAATTCACTGACTGTGTGGAGGCGAGGGGCTCTTCCAGGGGGGTCTGGGATGACCTTCGTGTCCAACCCTTCCCTGCTCTGCCTCTCAGGGAACAGCCCAGCCTCCTTGGAGAGGGCCGAAGCTGCCCTCCTCCTCCTCCTCCTCCTCCTCCTCCCCCCCCCTTTGTCTCCCTGCAGGGAGAGTCAGATGAGTTTGGCTTCCAGTTCATCCATGAGTTTAAATCTGGACTCGGAAGGAAGCGTCCGGTCGTGGCTGGAGTCAGCTCCCAGTCTGGCGGGAAGCAGCTCTCAGCTCTCGCTGGACGTCCGGAGCCTCCCGAGCCCGAGGTGAGAGGCTTGGAAGGGGGCAGGAGGGCTTGGGGGGCCCACGGCCAAAGGCAGCCTCCTGTGAGTCAAGGGGGTCCCAGGCAGGGTCATTTTGCTCTGCAGCCTCTGATCGCGGGTGCCCTCCGGATGGGGTGCCCCTCTCCTCACCCCACAGCCCGCTTGACTCTGTGTCTCTGCTGATCTTTCGCTCTCGCAAAGGCTGGGAGTGCTGCGTGTCGACCCCCTTCCTCCCCTGGATCTCCTGGGGCCCCCGGAGGGCTGAAGCCCCCTTGCATCCCAGGCAGGGCTGGCGTTTCTCTCCGGCACGGACCCTCGTTCGCTGCTGCCTGCCCGGCCTTTCAGCTGCTCCGTCCCTCTGTGCAATTAGCGCTCCGCTCCTTTTGTCTCTGGACATGCTCTGTGCTCCAATTCAAGCACAGATATTATTGCATAAATTATTTCAACCAGCATAAGCATAATAATCATCCTAATTGCTGTGTAATCTTCACTAATTACTGTTGTATGTCATTTGTTTTGGTGCAGTTGCACACTGCAAAAATCCCATTTGGCTCAGGGAGGATTTTGGATTCTCCCCTTGAAAAACCCGGGGAAGGAGAGCCAGGGCAGCCTTTCCCGGCCCCCTCCCCTTCTCCCCTCATCAGGCTGGAAGGAGGAGAAAGGGGTTCTCTGCTCCAGAAGGCGGGGCTGCTTCTCACTGGCCCCGAGGGCCCAGCACTGCCCCCCGGCCTCTCCCCCTCCGAAGCTTGGCTGTGAAGGGCCCCCTCCTCCTTCGCCCCAAGGCCCACTGACTCCCTTGGGGGTCCCTGTGAGGGGGGGAGAGGAAGGAAGGCTGGGACCAACCTCCCCCTCTTGCTCCTGGGCTGGAGAGGTTTCCTGTCCCTCCAGCCTCCCTGCCAGGCTTCCCTCTTGCCGGGGGTCTCCCTCTGGGCAAGGGCCCAGGTGGCCGAGCAAGGTGATGTCCATCTGTGAGCCGGGCCGGGGCAGCGTTGTTGGCTGGACAGCACTGAGCTCTCTCTTGGGGGGGGGGGGTCTGTGATGGAGACTCTCCTGGGGTGCAAAGGAGAGGCTGCATTTGGGAGCCACGTGCTGCCAATTTAGGGGGTTCTCCGGCAAGCCTTCTCTGGCTGAGGGGCTCCAGTGGGGGGAGAGGCTGGCTCTCTCTTCTGCCCGGCTTCCTTTGGGGGCTTCTTGGATAGGCTGGAAGAGGCAAAGCCCATCTCTAAGGCAACAGAGAGGTTTTGCCCGGACTCTCCTGGTCCTGGTACAAGGCCACCTCCGAGGCCTGGCGCCTGAGCCCAGTCCACTGGTTCTGCAGCCATTTCACACCGCCCTCCGATGCCCTCCCTCCCGCCCACCCCCGGCCCCCAAAGGCAGCCCGGGCGCTGTGGGAGGTGGAGGGGAGTGTGCCAATCCAGGGTGCCCCCTCCCTTCCTGTGAACAAGCTCTGGGGTGCTAAGGAAGCAGGTGGGCAGGAGAAGCGGATCCGGGCTGTGCCAGTTTTGGCAAGAAGGCAGCCGGGAAACAAGTGACTCAAGGCGCCAGTGAGCAGGTGGGGGAGAGGTTGGCAGGAGCTTTCCAAGCCCGGATCCTCCTGAAAGGCCACCAGGAGCCTTTCCTGAGCCTGGCAGGGGGGGGGGGGACATGAGGGGTGTGTGTTTGGGGAGGGGGTTCTAGAAGAAGAAGCAGGCACGATTTGACCAGTCCAAGGATCCCTCTTCCCTCTGGGGGTCTGGGACCAATTGGGGGGGGGCTCTGGGTGGTCTCCTTCTGTACCGCAGGCTGGTTTCTCTACGTCTTGCAAACGGGGGGCTGCCCCACGTGGCTGCTTGGCCCAAGGCCCTCGCGGGAGAGGCGGCTGGGTGGACGGACAGGCGGACAGAGGGCGAGGCCGTCAATCTCGCTGAGGTCCTGACTCTGCAGATTGCAGGCTGTGCAATGTTGCTATGGCATCCATTCTCCTTAGCCAGGAGGGTCTATGGCTGCCAAGCTAAATGTTGTTAAAATGTGTATTTCTCAAAACAGAGCAGAAAGTAGAAAAGGGCTTTGCAGTTCTTCAGCCTGGCCTCCCTCCCTCCCCCCCTCCCTCCCTCTTGTGCCCAACTCCCTGGCAGTTTGGGATCCCCACTTGTGGATCCCCACCAGGCCCTTGCCGGGGGGGGGGGGGGCGGGCAGATTCCGCTCACCCTTCTGCCAGTCCAGCTGCTTTGCCCCCCCTGGTTGGCCGGGAGGGAGCGGCTGCAGTCGAGGGAAGCAGCTTCTTCTCCCATCTCAATTTCAGGTGGAAATGCAGATCTCCTCTTGGGGTGACGCCTTGGCTTAAGGTCCCGCTGAGAGTTTCTTCTTCTTCCACTTTTCCCTCCCAGGGCGAAGAAGGACGCCGAGGAAAGCTGGCAGCCGATGCCGTGGCTCAGTGCGCAAAGGAAGGACTACGGGCGGTGTGGAGGAGGCCCGGATAGCCCTTCCGTTGGCTCCCTGAAGCAGGACTACGGGAGGCCCAAAGGGGAATTCAACAGGCCCCCCAAGTCAGAGGCCGTGTCCCCCCCTGCGTGGAGGCCCCTGTCCTCTCCCGCCGCAGCCGAAGAGACGGCGATCCCTTTCTCTCCACCCCGGAGCAGGGATCTCTCTCCTTCGGCCGAGGACAGGCTGTCCCGGTCCTCTTCTGCCCTCTCGGAGTATGTGGAGGAGCTGCGGAGGAAGCGTCTGAAGGAGCCCCTGGAGGAGGAGGAGGAGGAGGCCTCCTCCTTGCCCATCTACCAGACCACCGGGGCCCCCTTCCTCAGGAGGTGCAGGACCCTGAAGGACAAGGAAGACTTGCAAGCCAGCCTGGAGGACCTCGTTGCAAACCCCGGAGCTGAGCTGCTCCGCTGCTCCAGTTTGAGAAGCATCTCCTCGGATTGTGGGCTGCGGCCGTCCCTCTCCCCGGCCCTGAAAGGGGCCTCCAGGTTCGGCTCCTACGACTCCCTGGTGCAGAGCGCGGGTGAGCCTTACGCCACAGGTGCCCCTACGATCCTGGGTGGAGACGCGGCCGGCCCGTTGCGCCCGAGGCCCTGGAGGAGCTGCCTGGAGGCCTCCGTGGAAGGAAGCCTGGATCTCGGTAAGGAGCCTCTGCTGCTCCAAAGCAAGAGGCTGGGGGAGATCCCGAGGGAAGCGGAGGATCCGTTCTCTTGGAAGATTCCAACGCTGAGCTACGAGCGGAAAACAGACGCTGACTCGGAGGACTTCCTGCCGGCCATCCGGAAAGCTCAGTCCGCCAGCGGCCTGTCCAGAGGCCCCAAGGAGAGGAAGGACGGACAGCGGCCCCTCAGCGTCCGCTTTGAAGACCAGGCCGCCCGGCCGCAGCGCACCTTCCTGTCCGAGATGAAGACGGTCTTGTCCCCGCGGTCGAAAGCCAAGGAGGACCCCGGCAACCTCTCCGACTCCTCCGACTCCTCCACTGGCTCCTTCAAGAGCGCCGACAGCGTCAAGTGCCGGCCCGGAGCCCGGAGGCAGGAAGGGGAAGGCTGCGTGGGCAGAGGGGGCTCGGAGGGGCCGAGGGTCCACCCACGGTCCGAGGCGGAAGGCCGGGAAGAGGACGTGACCAGCATCATGATGAAATACCTGGGGAAAGAGTAAGGTAAGCAGCCTTGGCCGGTCCTGCTGCTGCTGGGGGAACCTTGAGAGCAGTTAGAGGCAGCGGAAGGGCCTCCCTCCGGAGGTTGTGGAGGCTCCAACGCTGGAGGTCTTTCAGGAGACGCTGGGCAGCCGTTTGCCTGGTGTGGGGCTTCCGGCCTGAGCAGGGGGTTGGACTAGAGGACCTCCAAGGCCCCTTCCGGCTCTGTGGTTCTGCACTCCATTCCTCCTCCTCCTCCTCCTCCTCCTGGTTAACTTTCTCCCGGCCTCCTCTTAGTCCAGCTGGAGCCTTTTCTGTCTTGCGCTGCTGCTGCTCCTCCGCTGGCGAGTGAAGAGCCAGTTAAGAAGCTGGCCGGGAGCAGCTCAGGCTCAGCCAGTGGGCTCTTCCTCTCTCGGCCCACAGTGGGGGGTTTCCTCCCAGAAGCTCCGGCTGGTTTTTCCATGGCTTGGGATTTCCCCCAGGTGTCCTTCTGAAACCAGGCAGGGGGGGGGCCTGGGGGAGGGCGGGGGAGGCGGGGTGCCAGCCAAGGAGGCCGCAGAGGACCCAGATTTCCTTCTCTCCTCCCCCTTCAGGGCTTCAGCAGCGGCATTGAGAACGGATCTGCAAGCAGGGTTCCTTCCGTGGACGATGGCTTCCCCCCCATCGCAGCTGCCGGAACCATAATGCACAGCCACGCGTGGGTGTGAGGGTGTCTAGGTGTGAAAGAGACGGACGGGCAGGAGCCCCTGGGGAGCTCCCTTGGACTGAGGCCAAATAAAACGCTTTGGTCCTTGGAGATGAGCCTCGGTTGGCTTCTTTGGGGGGTGGGGGCTGGCTCAGGTGGCCTCAGGAACCCCTGGGAGGGGGGACGACGGGAGGGGGGCCTGGGGTGGAGGTGGTGGGTGAGGGAGGGAGTACAAAGCGGGAGTCCTCGGACGGCCTCTCCTCTCCGGCCCCTCCCTTTTCCCTTCACACAGAGGACTCTCCTCGGAGCCCCTTCCTCTCCCCCTGGGGGTGAATCCTTGCTCTCTTCCCCATCGCGGCTCTGGTTCTGCGCAAAGGGGCCCAAAACAGCCTTCCAGCCCAGGGAGGAGCATGGCCGTGGGCGGGGGGGTTCTCGCCCCGATCTTCGTGGCTCCCCGGCGGTTGTTGACGGGGGGGGAGCCGCCGGGGGAGGCATGGCCGTGGGGGGGGGGGGGAGGAAGCTGCTGGTCTGAGCCTGGGAAGGCTCACCGCTTAGTCCTGGGGCAATGAAGGTCTTCCGTGGGACGGAGCACCAGGATATCTTCACCCAAATCAGGGAAGCCAGGATGTCCCAAGCTGCGGCTCTTTCCCAAACCGAGTTTATCTCAGTGGCAGCAGAGCCCCTCAGCTCCCCCGTGAGCCCCTCTCCTCCTCAGAGGGGACGAGAAGGGCTAAATCCCCCCTCTCAAAAAGACGGGAGGAAACCCCTGGGCTGAACCCTCGTCAGAGCCTGGGCCTCGGGGGGCTGCAGAGACAGGGCCCCCCCTGGGGTCTCCCAGACCCTCTGAAGCCACCCATCGCACCGCCTTGTGCTTGGGAGCTGCTGACTCCCTGGTTCTTCTGGAGAGTCCAGGCCTGGGGACCAGCTGGCTGCCCTTCAGGGGTCCCTTTGGCTGCTGCACACGGAGGATCTTTGCTTGGCAGCTGTTCCAGGGTGCAGTTTTCCTCCGAGGAAGCAACAGGCTGTTTGTTTAACTCGTATTAGCCCCGAAAATAATGTTTCCGTTTATAGCTTCCTTGTGGGAGTTTAAGAGAACCCTGGAACATAAAAATAATAGAGAGAGTGAGTGATGGCAACAAAAGGAGGGGAAGGACAGGGAATAAACCCCAGCACGGCCCGGAGGAGGAGCAGACAAAGAAACCTTTTGAATGAGCTTGGAACAAATTGCAGGTATTGTGTGTAAGCACATCAGTCGGAAGTGACATGCGCTGCTAACAGAGGAGGCGTTTATGTAACATCGGAGCCTCGCCTGGCTCCCCACGGGGGTCTCCCTCCTCCTCAGCCGAGACAGAGAAATGCCCCCCCTGCCAGTCTTTCCCTTGCACCCCTCAGCTCCCCAGGGGGGTCTGCTCCCCCACCCGCTTTGCCCAGGGCAGCTCAAGGCCCCCCCTGGACCACTTTTCTCCACAAACGCCCGGCAAGGGGGGGCCGGCCGAGAGAAGTTGACCCGGGTGAGCCCCCCCACCCACTGGCGCCCATCTGCTGCTCGTGGGGGGGCGGGGGCAGCACTACTTACTAGAGGTCTCGCATTCAGAATAGCCCAATTGTGAGCCTGAAATAGGAAGGAGCCCGGCGGGGGCTGGTCTGGGGGCTGCCCAGGGCGATTTCGGAGCAGAGCTCGGTGGCATCCACGTGGGCACAAAACACCCCGCCTCTGGCTGTGCCCCTTTCCTTGGTTTGGCCGTAGCCGGAACGTTCTGGGTGAAGGCGATTGTTGCAGCCTAATCTAATCATTTTGCTTCTCTCTTTAAATCCCAATTTAAAAGGGTTTTTTAAAGTATTATTTAACTATGTTGATGTATTCAGATTCGCCTGTCCCTAGGAGCAGAATTCCTTGTGTAAACTCCGTGTAGCCCCCTGTGGCCCAAAGCCAGAGAACCAGGGTGGTCCGGAGGGGGAGGGGCCGGTCTTCAGCCAGGGAGGGCCGCAATAAGATGGGGGGGAAGGCCAAGCTCTTTCCAGGGGCCCGGACCCAACGGCCTCCCAGGGCCACAGCTTGATCCCCAGGCCAGGCTGCAGAGGATGCCGGGGGCCTCTCCCCACTTGTCATCCTGCCCTCCCTTGGTAGCCCTCCCACCACTGGGGCCCCAAGAGTTCAGACCACGGGCGGTTCTGGGTGCGACCGCTTCCACTGCCACAAACCACCCCCAAGGGCAGCTGTGGCTTTGGGTCAGAATGGAGCCCCCCCCCACTTTCAAGCTCATGGAAAGGCAGCTGGCTGCAGATTCCCCCTCCCCCCTGCTCCTTGGGGCAGCTGCATGGACCCCCACTTAGCAGTGCTCAAGGTCTCGCCCCAGACCGACTGCTGGAGGCCTCCAAGCCCTCCTGGCCACTGGCGGGGATGCTCAGAGTCCCCCTACCTTTTCCTGGGGGCCCCAACCCTTCTGCTAAGCTGGTTCCTAAGCCCCCCCCCCTGAGCATCCCCTGTGGCCAGCGTCCCCCTCCTCCTGTTTCATGTCCCTGTTTACATCCTCTTTATGGCTTTATTAAACTGCTAGCGGTGCTTCAATTAAAGGAGTTGCTTTTTCTGCGACTGTAAGCACTTTTCATCAGAATAAATGTCATTTGTTAGGCAAAAGGGGTGGGGGAGGGATTGCAGCTGCTCTGGGAGGGGGGGGAGAGCCTGCTGAACGCCCCCCTCCCCAGCTCTCCTCTCCTGGTGGGGCTGATGTGGAGATTCCCCTCCCTCTGGAAAACCCTCCGCCACGCCTGCCTTCCACCCCCGGGAGACCCACGGCATGGACCCCCACTCCCCCCAGGCAGCAGGTAGAAGGAGAGGCCACTTCGGCTCCAGGCAGGCCAGGAGACTTGGGCTCCTCAGCCGGGGTCCCTCTTCCTTGCTTCCAGGGTCCTGGATCTTCCCTCCCCCCACTCCTATTTGCAAGAGGCTCTGGGTGGGNAGCTCTCCTCTCCTGGTGGGGCTGATGTGGAGATTCCCCTCCCTCTGGAAAACCCTCCGCCACGCCTGCCTTCCACCCCCGGGAGACCCACGGCATGGACCCCCACTCCCCCCAGGCAGCAGGTAGAAGGAGAGGCCACTTCGGCTCCAGGCAGGCCAGGAGACTTGGGCTCCTCAGCCGGGGTCCCTCTTCCTTGCTTCCAGGGTCCTGGATCTTCCCTCCCCCCACTCCTATTTGCAAGAGGCTCTGGGTGGGGGGGGGTGTAAAAATAGAGATGGGGGGGAGGATGCAGCTAGAGATGCTTTTCTGTCTGCCAAGCAGGACTTGGATGCTGCCTCCCTCCCTCCCTCCCTCCCTCCCTCCCAGGGTCTGGGCTGTTGCTCAGGGAAAGGCAGTGGGGGAGGGGGAGGGAGCCCCCCCCAGGTTCCCAAAGGGTCTTGCTCTCCTACCCCTCCTCCATCCTTGGGGGGTGGCCTGTCATTTCCCCCTGCATTTGGGGGGCCTCCTTGTGGGGGGATACTGGTCAGCAGCTCCCCTTGGCTTGAGAGGGCTGAGGAAGGGACTCGGCCCCCCTCTTGCCTGCCTGAGAGGGGTGCTGGTTTAGGGAGGCCGGGGGGGGGCTCCCTCCTTCAAGGCGGGGGGGGGAGGAGGAAGTGGCTCACGAAGCGGCATCTGCATTCAGAACCACAGATGGTCCTGGCGGCTGGGGGGGAAGACGTGTTCGAACAGTTTGTTCTGAAGCTTAATGGGCTCCGAAGCACAAATTTGGAGGCTTCTCTGCAGGGGCGCTAAAAATAGAGCCCCCTCCCCACCCATTCTCCATGAGCAACTCCCTGGCGGTGCTTGCTGGGGGAGGGGAGCCGGTGGGCAGCAGAGGGTCGTACCCGGGAGGCTTCGGCTTGGTCTGCAGCGACCGTTGGAAGCAGAGCCCCTGCAAGGGAGCCAGCGTGGCCGCCTGCCAAGTGGGAGGGAGGGAGGGAGGAGGGTTGGCAGGTGAAGGGTTCTTCGTGGTCTTTTCATCTGGGCATAAATTGGGGCCTGGGACCCTCTGGGAGGCAGCCTCCTTCCCACCACCCTTGGCTTCCCGCCAGCCAGCTTCCTTCAAGAGCCCAAAGCAGCCAAGCGCATTTCTTGCTTGTGCCCCTTCTCACTCCTTTCTCCAGAGCAGTTGTGGGTCTGTGTGTGTTGTGGGGGTGTGTGTGTTTGTGTGCATACAAGGGCACATCCCTCCTCCCCTCCCTGCTGAGACTGAGAAGCTGCCCAAAGGCCTCAGGATGCCCCCCCCCTCTTCCTCCTCAAGGGCAGAAGAATCCAAGGTGCCTGGGGGCCGATTGGGGGAACCCTCTTTTGCCCTCTGTCTTCCTTCTTCTCAGAATTAAAAGCCGTCGTGTGTTCAGGCTACCCTGGTGAATAAAACATCCTCTCTTGTGAATCTCATCGTGCCAAAGGTTGGGCCCACAGCAAGAGGTGGCTTGACATGTGCCAGTGGAGGCCAGAGCTGCCCCATGCCCGGGGGGGCGGAGCGAGAGGAGGAAGTGGCTGCTGACCCACTTGGGGGAAGGGGGAGGAGGGGGACGCAGAGGGGTCTCCTGCTGAGCCCCAAGAGCATCGCTGGAGCAGCTCAAAGCCCACACTGGAGGCCTGACTCTGCTGGGGGCTTTGGAGCCTCGGGAGTGAAGCCCCCTCCTAAGGGAAGAAAGCCCATTGTTGCCACCCAACAGTGTGGGGCAAAAGAGGGCTTGGAGAGGCACCTGGCACTGGCTGAAAGGAAGCTGGGATGAAGCGCTTTCAGCCTTTGGACAGGGCCAGGCTGGAGGTCCATCCCTGCCCCAACGGACACCCTCCCAAGGGTTTAAAAATTGGCTCCCGGAGCCTTCCTTCTGGAAGGTGCCTTGGGGTGCTTTTGGGAGGCTCCTTGGCCGAGGCCATGCCCCCCCCGTCCTGCCCCATTTTGCCCACCAGGGGGCCAGGTGTGGGGCAGGAGGGCTCTCTGCTTGGGGGGGAGGGGGGCTGAAGCTGCCAAGGAG